ATCTTCAATAAAGTTCTTTTTTCCTAGCAAAAAATTACAGATCGTGGTCTTTAATAGCAAAAAAATCAATCAAAAAAATGCAAATTTTTCTTTGTTTTTCAAACCTGAAGTTCGCGTAAGACCAGTTGCACGTTAGTTTCTGAAACCAATGTTGTTAGCACTTGAAGTTTCAGCAGTTTGATATGTTTCGGTTCCGCAGGACGTATGAAAAAACTTTTCAGAAATGGCTCGAACATATTCTGAAAAAAAAATATCATGCACAATCAGACAGTTTAAGTTTAAATACAACATGAAAAGTCAGAATCAAAACAAACATGCAAATACACAGCAAAATACTACGTATGAAAATACAGGGGGAAAATTTGTGCACAATAGTTATTGCATTTTTTTAGCTTATGTAAATCTGGCGTAAAGAACATTATTGAAGCAATGTACGTCAGCAAGAAGAGATGGGCTAGTCATGTGGCCCCGGGATGATAGATAACAGATGGACGAAGCGGATAATGGAATGGTACACGGGTATGGTCAAGCGAACATTGGGAAGGCCACCAATGAGGTGGAGAGATCCCATGGTACGCCTGTACGGTATTACATGGTCTAGGAGAGCGCAACAACGAGTTGAATGGAGAAGTTGCCAGCTGCACCGATGGCGTGACAACGGATGTCGATGTCATACGACTGCTCAAGTATTAAAGTAAATATGTAAATCTAAATACCAAGACCGCCTGGGCAACTGCTGGATGTAAGAAAGTTATATTAGTGGCTTTACTGGGATGTTCCTATAAGCCGCATTCTCCAACCCTGTGTTGCACATCCACCAGTTAGCGGTATCCAATTGCATCTAACAAAAGCGGTGATTCCATGTATCTGCACTCCGAAGGTATCAATCCTAAGCAAATTCCAGAGGACGACATTTCCCGAAATGACTAATAGTGCTAATTATTGCTCTAACTATTGCTGTTCTACTACTTAAATAAACCACGGTCAAGTTGCAATCTTCAATCACCACAACGAACATAACAATAAAAAATTTTGAAAAAATTTTTGAAAAATTTTTCACTTTTTTGCGTAAAAAAGCTTATTAAACTAAAAAAAAACACGATTTGATAGTCTATTTTATATATTTAAGTTTTAAAAAAACACAGGTATAACACATACAATAACG